TGCTGCTGCTGCTGCTGCTGCTGCTGCAAGGCCGCCGCGCTCCTCTCCGCCTCCAGAATGGCGCCTTTGGTGTTCGTGGTCCAAGAGACGGTGGTGTTGGTCAGAGCCTGGCTCAAAGTGCTGTGCCTGAACAAGGGGTCGTGGAAAACCCCGTCCACCCAGTTTCTCAGGGTCGTGACCGGCGAGTCCTGCCTGTTGTCCAGGCCGGTCACGGGTGAGGTAGCGGCGGGGGACGGGGTGAGGGAGGAGGGCGGCGGCTGGCACCTCAGCATGCAGGACGGATACTCAGTCTGGTTGAGGGACGTCGCGGTTTGCGCCAAAGACCAGATCCGAGGTTTACCGTCTAGTATCTGGTGCCCTCCTTGCTGCTGCTGATTATAACACGCCTTCTGTCTGCTGTCCGCCTGGAAATCCTCCGGGTTCGTTTTGAGGCAACTTTTGCTCAAGTCCTGCTCCCCTCCGAGGGAGACCGGGATGGGGATCTTCAGGGACGCGTCCTTGATGAGGTGCTCGGCGGGACAGTCGGTCGTCGTCGTGGACATGTGCGTGTTCATGTGGTATCGGTGCTTCAGCTCGCACTCGGAGCTCTCCGACTCCAGCGTGTCGAAATCCTCCAGGTCGCTCAGCTGGAGGTCCTTATCAGGCCGACTCCTGGTCTCTGGGAGGACAGAGAGGAGCCAGCAGGCATGTTAGGGGGGAGATACAGAGTCAGACAACACAGCATCACATATCGTTATCAACTTGAAATCACACTTGTGGAATTAAAGCTGCTTTGTTTTAAATAAAGAAAGATGCTTGATATTAGTAATAAATGTGACTCACAACCAAACCAACCAAAACAATTGTGTTTATCAGTTTTAAAATAAAGTAAATCATTCCAATGCAGGTTATTAACTTAATTTAACAGTTAAACAGTCTGTTTGATCAGTGTGAAGGTCCAGTGTGTCCCTGTGTGATGCCGGCTGAGGCTCACATCAGGCCTCTGCAGGAAACTTCAGCAACTCATGCTGCTGACAGGTTGAATTTATGCAATTCATACACTGCAAAATAAAGACTTCAACTAATTGTATAGCAGCTGTGTCATGTGTTTCTATCCATCATCATCATCATGGTGCAGTGACAAGCACCAATAACAGTATTACACACGTGGGTATTTGCTATAACGACGGCTGATTGAGTTGGAGAGAACCAAACACTGACATCCTGCAGAAACAGAAGCTCTGTAAATATCCTGGTAGAAAATTCAATGTTGCACCTTAAGCTGCGATTTGAGCAAAATTCGACAAACAAAGGAAAACGAACAACACAACCATTTTTTAACCAAGCGTCAAGAAATACAAAAACCCCTGCAGATTGAAGTTTTGCTGATATTCTGTTTCAGTAGAATGTGCCTATGATTATTTTTTCTCAGTCGTTTTTATTTTAACTACCATTATAAGTTATTCTATAGTAAAAATAAAAAAATAAAACAACCTATAAAGTTCCCATAAACAATTCAACACATAGGAGCTTTACTTTTACAGCTTTACTTTATTTCTGCAAGCCAGCGAGTCTCTCTGACACTGACCATCGTCATTGTTCTCGCTTTTTATCTGCTCCTCCTGAGAGCCGTCCTCGTCGTCGTCGTATCTTTTCTCCTCCGAGCCCTTGTTTCTGGGCGGCCACGTCATCTTGTTCTCCTTCTTGAGCCTCCTCCTGGCGTTGGCGAACCATGTGGAGACCTGCGTCAGGGTCATCTTGGTGATGATGGCCAGCATGATCTTCTCCCCTTTAGTCGGGTACGGGTTCTTCCTGTGCTCCTGCAGCCAGGCCTTCAGCGTGCTGGTGGTCTCGCGCGTGGCGTTCTTTCGCCTCGTTCCCCCGTCCATGGAACCATATCTGTTAATGAGAGGGACATAATGGTAACGAGAGGGTAAATATCATATGTAATGCTTGTCGCGTGACAACTTCTAATGCTCTGCCCTGGCACTTTTGTCTCCTGAAAACCATGACAGAACCATCTGCTTGTTGAAGTTTCCCTGAGCTGATGCATGCTTCATAAGCTTCACAGTGCCACTGATGCTGCTGTCTACATCATCGCAGAAAGTCCTCAAATTAAATATCAGCAACGCGTCAGTTAAGAGGCGTTACTCGGAAAGCAGAGAGAAGGGGAAGGAAAACCTGTCAAACTAAACATACTGTAGGAACTATTCAATTCTTGGCAAGCTATAACAAAACTTTCAAGGCAAGGCTAATGTCCATAGGTCGGAAAAAAAAAGATTATGTGAAATATACAGACTGACAGAATTGAGAAAAAGGGCGACTTAGTTCCAGTAAAGTTCCTTGAAACCCCTCCAGTAACTCCAAGCTCAGTGCCTACTCTGGCATCCAAAGTTAACATGATAACAGCATCATTCAGAAATGTGCAAATCATTGCTACACACTGTAATAAACTGTATGCACTGCTTATTTTCCAACCTTTTTCCAATGCATTCCTTATTAAAAACTATTCTTCGGGAAGCTCACGGCTCTTTCCCTCCTCTCGCCTCTCCCACAAATATCAACCGTAAACCTACATTTAAAATGCATGCTGTTGATTTTCAGTCAGCAGTGAGCTGTAAAAGTCCTCTCAGGGGAGGCTTTTATGAGGCCTTTATTGCTCCGTATGGCTTAGTGCAGGTCAAACACTGCTAAGGGAATCAAAAGGAGAGGAGCGCTGCACCTTTCCTTACCCCGCGTTGTTCCCTCCGCAGATAAAATAGACTGTAAAATTGCTTTATTGAGTGTAATGATGAGCCCTCAGGTAAAAGGCGGCTGCAGACAGTGTGCTGCTGCTGTAAGGCCTGCTTGTTTATCTGAGTGCCACAACTTCTGTTTGGCCTTTTGCTGCATGTGCACTTACTGAGTTCCTGGTTGACACAATTTTCTCTTTAAACTGCGATTAGCAAAAGAAGTCAACTCGCGAACTTTCATGGCGCTGCAAAGCTTCGAGTCAACGCAGCACTTTGCGTCATCAATTAATACACAATACTTATAAAAGCAGGTGTTTTCTATGGTTTTGCATGTAGTTCTGTTGGCGTTGATCCTTCTATTCAAACTGAATCCATAGTGAGCTATAGTGATCATTCACAGCCTATATTTCCATCACATCCCAGGCTTAATTTGGATGTCATCTGATTATTGGGAAGACCTTTCAATATGGCAGACATGCTCTTCACAACAATGCAGGGGCCTCATGTTTTGATGAAAGGGCCACGGGTCCTCTGAAGTAATTCACCCCATCAGAGAAGAAATGTGTCAGGAGATGAAGGTGATCACCCAGTGTTGCTAGACGTGATGAGAATGGCCTCGGCCTCTCAGGAATGATTGATTTAATGCCGGAAAACTCACCCCACACTGCAGCACAATACTTCAAGAGTTACCTTCTACATTTTTGTCACATGTAGTTGGGATGAGCTTGCTTTCTGGATTTGGATCTAACCGACATGGATCACGCGACTTTCTCTCACTTTTTAAAATCTCCACTACATTATATTAAAGTAAGTTGTACTATTCATGTGAAGCGGTTGGATGTTTGGAGATCAAGCTTTTAAAAATGATTTTTAAAAAAAAATCAGCTGGAATGACATACCTGTCATACTGATACTGTCCCAGGGTAGGATCATAAGGGTAGTAGGCTGTTGCCTGCGTTATTCCCGCATGCGCAGAAGCTGTGGCATCTTTAGTATCAAATGTACCCTGCAATCATTCATAAAGACAAGTGTTTAGAAGAGATATACAAACCATTTTTGGCTTATTAGGTCAGAAAAAAATAAATCAGTAAAACAGATGCAAACTGGTTGTTTTTCAAAGTTGTTATCAACGATGCTGGTGGTTGATTGTACAAGAAATACAGTATTAAAGACATAATCGTGTGCTGAATGAAAAATGAAATATCGCCACAGTTATAAATGCAAGTTCCCATAACTTCAATGCCAAAACTTTTTAAACTTAAAACTCTGCAATTTTTAAACACAAATTAAGTTTTAAAAAATAAAACTTTTGAAAAAAAAAGTGGTAGGTTTAGTGCAGGGTTCTGGATAAATGAATCTGTGAGGGGGTTGCAGGAGGGTCTCCAGCAAAACAGGAACTTATTATAGAGCAATTATTCCATTACAAAGGTATTTTACATTTTCTTCTCACCACAATTTTGTCAACATTTGTCAGCACCCCATGAAATCCAACCTAAAAACCAACTCTTTTCCTGGACTTTAGGCCCCAGGTAGAGTGTGTTATAAAAATAAAAAAAAACGTTTGAGAAATCATTTAGAGTCATATATTGACAATCTTATCACACACTGAATCTTCAAAGTCTGCTTGTGTGCCATATTCAACTTCTTTTCAATGCAGAGCAGACTGTCTTAGTGATAGAAATAATTGCAGTTTATTTTTCTGCCTGTTTTATTAAAACTCATATGCCTCAAAACAAGCTGGCAGAAGAAAAAAAATGCGCAATGCTGACAGGGGACTTTTGGATTTCCAAAGGAAAAGTTGCAAGAATAAACCACATACAGTCAAAAGCACATATTTTGTGGTGTGCAACATAAAAAACAGAAGAGAGGTGTGTTGTCTGCTTTAAGTCTTTGCAGCCTGCGGCTCCATAAATCAATGCCAAGAGGGATCAGATGCAGCTCTTACCAGCGAGTAGAAAGCCGAAGCGTCCGTGCCGTATGTAACGTAATTCCCATAGCCTTGGCCGCCGGTGTAGGGGCTCCCGTACACACCCAGAGCCGCGGCTGAGCTCAGTTCATGCCTCGCTGTGGCCAGCAGCCGGCTCTCGTACACGGGACAGTAGACTGGTGTCTGTCCGGACCCCGCTACTCCGGAGTCGGCTATGGATCTGCCGGTGGACTCGCAGCAAGTGGTCAGAGAGTTGGTTGTCATCAGGAACTGGGTGGAGACCAACAGAGAATTTATCATTAAAAAAAAGAAAGAAAGAAAGTTGTTTCATTTAATACTGCACTAAAAAAAATACATCTTAATCATCAAGTCTAACTTAAAGTTAATTTACAACTTTATTTTTGAAATAAAAATGAAACAAGTTCAACAATCTACCTGTTTCCAAAACAGCTGATCGATTTAATTAGCCTAAGTTTCGACAAAAATAATATTTCACCCACGCAAAAATATTCCAAATGGTTTCGCTTTTGTGTATCACTATTGCAAAACTAAAAAAAACACTAAATGTCTTGCAAAGGCTGCTGTTGGATGAGGAATGATGCAGCATATTCGTGTGATAATGTGCGCGTAAAACGTGTCCAAAACGAAGCGTCTATTAGCGTTGATCCAAATGAAACACACGCCTTACAAACAGACCCATGTTTTCTCAGTAATACCCAAAGTAATGCCCAAATGATTTTTTATGGCTCAAAGCCAAAACTAAACAGCAGCTGGGGATATAGCGCAAAACACACACGGCGTGTGCCGAACAAGTTGGCATGTGTGTTCCAGAGCAGATAAACATATGGTTGACATTACAGAGCGGCTATTATCTTACAGAAATCAGCGAACGGGAGGTCGGGGGTCTCGGTGGTTTCTGGTTACCCTCATTTTACCTTTTTTTCCCCCTCCTCTCGCTGCAGAAAACACAGGTATCACCGGCTGCAACGCAATACCTTCCCGATACCCGAAAGGACATTAAAAGTCTCCCTGAATCTTGGCTGAAGTGCGTAAAAGGATCAAGCTTAAATCGATGAGACAATCAATCGCCGCGATACCAAAAAAAAAGAAAAATCAAAACATCCTATAAAGCACTTACTTGTGGAGCAGACGAGTAGGGATATCCAAATTGTGGATATGACATGGTAGAGAGGTCCCCCAATATCCAGAAATAAAGCGAGACTGAAGGTCTCCACTCTAACGCAGGCTGCAGCTCTGTTTGACTGTACCAATTGATTGGTAAGCACAGGCTCCTAGATGCTTATAGGGCGAAGCAGAGTAGCATGTTTAATTTGTGTAAAATGCCCCCCACTCAAACGCCTCAAACGTTGAGAAAAAAAAAATAATAAATAATAAAAAAAGGGGGGGAAGCAAAATCTCTTCTTTTTTTTTTTCTTTTATAAAGTCTACACAGGTGACACGAGTGCCTTTGCCTGGAATAATCACTTTGTTGTCAGATACATATTTTTGCCTTATAAAAAAGTAGTATAAAAGACGTCAGCAGCAGAGGCAGGTTGTTTTAAACGGCGGTGACTCTGACGTCAGAAGTTTCCCACTCTAAAAATGACCAGACTGTAACTTTAATATGCATTTTCCTTCTCAGGATGACGACAAAAAAAAAACAGAAAGAACAACCCAAGAAGAACATGTTTTTAAAGGGACCCTTGTTTTTTTTCTTTTAAAAAACGAGATGTCCTGGAGATTAATGTGCAGTTCCAATCAATCAATTAGGCCAATCAGTGTCGTGAATATGCAAACGTATGTATCAGGTTAAATGCATTAGGGCCTAATTAAGCGCATTCTTCTGAATTGATGCTAATCACATAATTGATTTTAAATTAATTAGTAAAGAATATGTTCATACTGAGCAGGAAAAAAAAAAACATTGAGCCCCCAGAAGATTAAACAAATAAATAAAATGTGGTTTTGTCATTGTTTTGGATTTATATGATGAGTTCCTAAAGTGCGTAATTGGATGTGCATCTATCTATCTATCTATCTATCTATCTATCTATCTATCTATCTATCTATCTATCTATCTATCTAATCTCTTGTGTTTTGGTCAGACAGGACTCCTGAAACTAACCAGAACCCTGGCTCGCCACCGTGCCACCGGCTCCGGTGCGCGCCGCCTTGCTTGGAGAAACCCGGGTTGAGACATGTGGATAGCCCCGGGGGTCACTCCTCAAATTAATGATGATGTACTCCTCCTCTCCTCCTCCTCCTCTCCTCCTCCTCCTTGCTCTCCTCTCCAGCTGGATCTCTGCCTGCCGGTGACAGGTCGATTGAGAGTGATTGATGACTATCTGGGGGACCGGGGCCAACATAATAATATGATACCGGCACCTCGCAATAATTGCTCGCTTTCATTTACAGATGAAAGAAGTAATAAAGAGCCGTAAAGACGGATAGGCTTCTGTTTCCGTAACTTTTTTTTTTTTTTTTTGTCTTTCTGTTTTGTTTTGTGAGGAAGTTCTGGGTGCTGCGTCTCCATGAAAACGCTGGTTCTCTCATTCATTTTGACAAATTGAATTATAGAGGGGGGTTAGTAGCTCCAAGCAAATGGCCGCATTAACGCCTTGAACAGGGGGGGTCAAAAGGGATCAGCCAGCCCTCCTTTTTAATTTGCATTAACTCTAATGCCACCTTAACATTAACAACCCGTCTGAGGCGCTCAAGCATACACTCACTCACACTTCTCCCTCACACACACACACGCAGCTCCGTTTTGTCTTATTAATTTAGGCTTTTTTCTAAATTCATTGGGGTTAATGTGACACGCAGTGCATTAAGGGAGGGCGGGACCCAATTTATCTTCTACATCACACCCAGTGGACGCAGGGAAAGTGTTGACACGCTGATATTTTTTGGGGGGGGATGTTGGGAGCGCACCTCAAACTCCCACTGCAGTGCCATGCGCGCCGACTAACCTGGTTTGTTTGTATACCCCCTTTACGCACATGTACAGAATGAAGGAGAGAATGAAAACAAAAAAATGTGATGGACACATCCAGTGCCCCCTCCCCTCGGTGTTACCTTTTCATTATCCACTGCGTTACCCAGTGTTATCAGGCGCCTATGATGAAATATTTAGGCACACTAGTGTATGCTTTTAGACGGAAAATGAAGGAGACGGCAGGAGTTCATGCTTGTTTAGCGTTTAAAGATTAAAAGAGAAGCTTCTGTTTTTTTTCTTCTTGGACAGATGTGATGAAGCTTGGCTCTGTTTAAAGTGGAGCAAGTGAATGGGGTGAGATGCTGTCCCATGCCAGGACAAAGGGGCCCAACTTCCCTTGTTTTTAAATGAAATCAAACATGATAAGGAGCACTTTTTATTTTGTCAATCACTAATAATCAGGATTAAAGAGAGATTTGAAGATGCTTTGAATGTATAGATAAGGACATATTTCTGTGGGATCATACATCACGTTCAATAAACAACACAAATCAACTCCTTCATTTAAACTATAACTGTTAGAATTCAACTTTGCAGTCATACATGCAGCCATGAAGATCTTTGATTTTGTGCTCATGAAGTGGTGTAATCCAGTTCCGGTGTTGGTGTTGCGGCATCAGCCCCCAAACTACTGTAATCTGAACGATCACTGGGCTGCACTTTGCAGTAAGCCTGCTCATTTGCATCGCCTTTGCAACTAAACTCATAATACAAAGTTCCCCCAGAAACATTGTAATCATGGAGGTGTCACTTTCCTGATAATCTGTCGTTGATTAATGAGCCACGAGAAGGGGAATGCATGAGAGAGGTGTGTGTGTGTGTGTGTGTGTGTATGTGTGTGAAACACACCCTTTTCTCCACAGATTTCAGTGAGTTTAAAGTGAAGACAAGCCACAAAACAAAGGTCAGCTGTGTATCAGTGAAGCACCAAGCTCAGTCTTTTATGACAGTGATGAGTGATGTGAGGTGTCTGTGGATCATTTTTGGTCGTTTTACGCAGAACAACATTCGTACTAGGCTTCTTTTAGAGTAAACATAGTTACCTGAGGTGTTCTGAGGAAATCCCAACTCAGGTAACAATGCATCGGTACATCGGTTTAAACAAAGCACGGAACTATGTTGTGCAGATTGTTCAAATCTTTGAAAACGCTGTGATGTGAGACCATTTATCGACGCTGACTTTCCCAGTAAGTAATCTTTCCATTTCTTTAACAGTTTAGCACAGAAATAATCTGAGTCTACAGGATTTGAAAAATATTTTTCTGACAACTGAATTTAATCCCTTTCTTTCACAAAAAAAACATCTTGGAGTTGCATTAGAAATAAAAAAAAAAAAAGTGTTTCCGTGAGCCAAATAAAGGCCCCAAAAAACAAAAAAACTGTTTCTTGCAGGAGGTAATTTTGTGTAAGTTTGAGAGAGCAGTTTATTTTTAAATGTTTAGACTGAAGCATTGGAATATCAAGAGTCAAAATGTGGGACTTGTGTGCACAGAATGAGAGTTGCGTGAGCACCGAGACAGGAAACTTGCCTCAATCAAGTGTGGTTCAGTGACAGTGCTGATGTTAACCTCTGCCATGTTCAAACTCCCCAATGTAGGTTAGCATCAGGTGAAAGAACTCATTTTTGTCAGTTTTTTGGTTTTCTCTTCTCTTCTCTTCTCTTCTCTTCTCTTCTCTTCTCTTCTCTTCTCTTCTCTTCTCTTCTCTTCTCAATAAAGTAAATGATAAAGTCCATATTGTCACCTTATAATCGTAAACTGCTCTGCCCTTATTTGCTACAGTACTTTTGTCGCAACTTTATAAAACGTTTCTCCGTTCTATTTCACATTGTGTGACGACAGCGCTTGGATGTTTTCTGGTCCACTGTCACATTTTTTGAGTCAACAGTGGAGAAGCTCATGCTGACCTCAATAGCTGAAGACAGCTGCACAGACCAACTCGCTCTCTGACATGAAGCCCCGAGCAGCTCCCAGGCTTCCCAATAGCTACCATGTTCCTCTATCTGTAGTCGTGGAAATAATGTCCGAGCGCTCTCGCGCACACACACACACACATTTACGCAGAATGCTTATCCAGCACAACATTAGCCTATCTACTGTCTAGTCTAGTCTTGGAGTCCAAATGGAATATTGATCTCCAACGATCTTCTCAAAGTATTTCTTATTTCTTCTCCTGAACAGCGCAATGATTTTTTTTTTTTTCCACTTTACTTTTGGCCCTAAAGCTCTTATGGTTTTTGCATGAGTTGGGCGATAAGCGTAGCTCCTCCAGGCACTTTGCACAAAAATGGTGACTTTTGTTGCCGTTGTCTTGGCGGTTTGTGCACAGTAGCCAAAATTCTCCATGTTTTCAAGCTGAGGTAGTGTTGTTTTTTAGTTAATTGCTTCCTTTAATGGGCAATTTATTGTGTTAACCTTCATTTCTTACACACAATAGGGAAAGCACATGTGGTGATAATAATAACAGCTTTGGTCTATTATTGGCCAGGTCATCACTGTGCATTGACCAATACAAGTGTAAGTGCTGACAGCGGACACATGTAGTTCTATCATACTACAATGTACATACTATAGGCTACACACTAGACTAGAGGTATACCTTCTGTGCCTCTAGTATACAAAGAGTCCACTACCTTGGTGCAATGTGGATTTCGTCATCTAACCAAGCCTGCAAGAATCTGCAGCAGTGCAGTTGTGTCTATGAGAGGAATATGTAGATGCAACTTACCACACATGTATGGAACAAAGACCTCCCAGTAGATTCTCAGCAAAAGTAGAAAGAAGTACATTAACAACAATTATGCATCCACGGTGTCCGTTGCTGTCCATGTATGTGTCTGCAAGAGAGAAGTATGAAGGCATTAGTCTTTTGCGCAGGCGGTCACATTTCCTCTAACATTGAAGCCAGAAGAACCCAAAGGACACCCAAACAGGTTTTGATTTCCTCCATTCTAGAGGATATTGAAGTTGACTGGACTGTAGCACCATGCCAATACATATTCTTTAACTGCTGTGGAATTACCTGTTGATGGAGTTTGCTGCCTTCGTGTCGTAGCACCATCACTGGAAAGCATCAAAACACCTCCAAAGTCTGGCAGTCACTGCTTCAGTTACAGCTATTTTAATGATGTATTCTACAGACGTGGACAGTGAGGAATCTCCTCACACAGCTTCTCCATGAACCACAAGTTTGTTTTGCTTTCCTGGCACATGTGCAGTCTTCGTGTTTGAAATGCCACAA